CAACTTTAGGGATTTTGAATATTTCTTCATGTGTTTGTTCACCCTCTGAATGCCTATTCAGGGTGTCTGTTCATGTCCTGTGCCCATTTTGTGATTGGGTTGTTTACCTTAATCTTGTTGAGGTTCTCGAGTATTCTATAAATTCTAGATAAAAGTCTCTTATCAGACATGTCATTACAAAATTTTTTCCCAGTCTGTGGGTTTCCTTTTCACCCTGTTGGAGAAGGTTTTTTATTTGCATAGGAATTTGATTTTCAGAAGGTCCTATGCATCTATTTTATTCTTTCCTAGCTGTAGGGTTTTTAGGATCCTTAGGAGACTGTTAATGTTGTGGATTAGGGTTTCTACAGTTCTTCTAAGCTTTTGTTTGATGAAGTTTATAGTCGTTGGTTTTACTCCTAGGTTTTTTATCTACTTTGAGTTGTTTTTGTCTATGGCGTGAGGTTTGGGTCTTGCTTCAGTTTTCTACAGTTGAGTTTTCCAATTTTGCCAACACCATTTGTTAAAAAAGGCTGTTGTTTCCAAACTTAACTGACTTCATCTCCTTGTCAAAAAATCAGTTGACCATAAGAAGATGAGCTGATTTTTGGGTTCTCAATTATATTGCATTGATCTAATGTCTGTCACTGTATCAGTACCATGCTGTCTTGACCACCATGGCTGTGCAGTAGGATTTGAAATCAGGGAGTGAGATGCCTCCTACCTTGTTTCTCTTTTTCAGGAGTGCTTTGCTTATTCAGGGTCTCTTTCCATTACAGATGAGTTGCCTTTTCCATCCCATTGAAGAATGAAATTAGTATTTGCTTTGGGATTGCATTGAACTTGTAGATTGCCTTTGGTAGAATGTAATTTTCAAAATATTGAAACTTCCTATCCATGAGCATGGTATATTCTTCCATTTCTCCAGGTCTCTTTTTGGTAGTAATGTTTCAAAGTTGCAGTCTTGTTTCTTAAATTGTTTTTTGTTTTTGTGTTTTTTTTTTTGGGGGGGCGGGTGTTTTTCATTCAGTAATTCATATGCAATTTGTTTTGTGACATGGATTACAATCTTTACAATGTAACAGTGCTCTTCTCACGCTCCCCCTCCCCATTCTTCTTTCCTATCTCTTCTTGCCTTCTTAGTTTTGTCCTTGGTCAAATGCTGCTTTTTCTATGTTCAGTGTTTGTGTTCTGAGAGCTTACTTCCCTGGAATTACTGTTCTCAAAGGCCTGTTAATGGTTTGGCTAAAAGTTGGGCCAAAATGTTGAGGAATTTCCAGGTCAAAGGGTACCTCACAGCCAAAATGCATATGTGTGTGTGTGTGTGTACACAGTCCAGGTAATGTTGAAATCTTTCTCTAGAGAAGCAGCTGGTGGGTTTGAAACCCTTACTTCCATTTAGTAGCTCAGTGTTTACCCACATTGCTTCTAGATTTCCTCAGCTAAAACACACCGTTTCTAAAATGAGTTTGCAATTAGTTTGTGTGAGAGAGAGCCTTTTATCCCTTTATTGTAGTACTTAAAAAAGATTCATCCATAGTCTTTTTATGTAAACATTATTAAATGTGCCATTAACACCAGGCAGCTATGAGTTGATTCTGACTCGACAGCAGTGAATGTGCACAGAGAATTTACAGAAGTCAAGGTGGAGGGAAAGAGTGCATGTTTTATGTTGCCAAACAAGACTGCCCTTCTCCAGCAGGGAGAACGTACCAGCAGCTCCAAGGGAGGGTTTGCTGGGAGTCGGAATTGACACACAGCAGAGAGGGAGTGTGGAGGAAAGTAAAGGAGGTCCCAGAACATCTAGATATCCAAACCTTTCTACAAAAGAACTTGATTTGCAACAGAGTGTGGAGAAGTTCAAGCCGAAGGACTTGAAAAAAAAAAAAGGAGTTTGACATGAGAGGCAACTGGAAGGAGCTTTAAAGGATTCCCTGGAGATAATGGCTAAATTATAAACTTGTTAATCTGCAGAAAACAAACTAAGAGACAGCTGGAAGGAATCCTCCTGGGGCTAAACAAATGTAAAAAACTAACCTTTTTAGGAGCAATCTCTTTAGAACCTGAACTTGGGCAAGCTCTAGTGGCTTAGTGGCAAGACGCTGCACTGCAATCCCAGAGGTGAGCAGTTCAAACCCACCGGACGCTTTGCTGGAGAAGGAGGGACAATCTCCTCCTATATAGTCAGATCCGATTTTGACGGTACACACACAAAAAATAATAAAAAAAATAAAAACATGAACTTGATTCAGTCTAAAGTACCAGTGAATCAGACAAAAGGAAGATTCAAGTAGAGGAACAGACTTGAGGAGAAAGGACAATGATAAAACTTTTGTCTGGGAAATAATACAGTTTGGGAAATCAGTGAGACATTGACGTGATGTACAGATGGTAACTGAATGATGAAAATGGAAGCTCAGCTGGTTGTCAATTAGAGACTGTAATTTTGAATGGTTAACCTGCTGCGGACGATCTCTCTGAGACACAGTAGAACTGCCCCAGAGAGTCCCTAAATCCCTGCTATCTTTAGGGATGCAGAATGACATTATCTTTTTCTGGCAGCATGGCTGGTAGATTCGAACAAAAAACTCCCATAGCATCCACCCAGTTAACCATTAGCCACCAGGGCTCCTTTTTAACACAAAACACCTCCACAGAGCATTATGCTAAGTGACTCAGTCCCATAAGGACAAGTACTGCATAAGACCATTATTGTAGAATGTGTAGGAGGATCCAAGGGAAGCAGAGGACTTGAGGATGGGTGGAAGGTAGAGTTGTTAATCACAGGGTCCCACAATTTGATAGGGGGAGGGAGAGGACGAGGGACAGGAAATGGGAAAGATCTGGTGTGAAAACAACATAATAACAAACAAAAATAAATATTTTTTTTTAAAAAAAACAACTTCCAAAAAAACTCAGAAACAACTGAGTCATCATTGACTCCCAACTGACTCTGCAGAGTTTTAGGATATAAAGTGCACAGAGAAGATTGTACATCTTTCTCCAGCACACTTCTTTCTCCAATCCATTATGGACTATGACCCCACAGCTCTTTTTAATGTCACACCCACTCACTGCCTGTGAATCTGAAGTGACTCAGAGCGGACTCTCCTGCAGATTTTCAGGGGCTGCATATTGAATGGGGAATCTGCTCATCTTTCTCTCACAGAGCAGCTGGTGTATCTGAACGGCCTTACCATATAGGTTAATAAACTCATGTGAGTGGATAAGACCATGCAGAAGAGTATTTATGGGTTTTGTTTTGCTTTAAAATACAGTAAGAAAAGGAATGAAGAAGAGACATATTAATAGAGAAAACTGAGGAGACTAGAAAATAATGGGTAAAGAAATAAGAGGGTCAGAAAAGACTGAAGCTGGGTAAGGAGGAAAGCCTGAGGAAGCTCATCTTCATACTGTGGGAATGCTACTAGGAGAGGCTGTTCCTTGGAAAAGGACATCATATTTGGAAAGGTAGAGGGCCAGCGAAAGAGAGGAAGACTTAACCTGGTGGACTGACAACACAGAGACTGCAGCAGTGGGCTCAAGTGTGTCAGAGGTGATGAAGATGGCACTGGACAGGACACAGTTCAGATCTGTTCATTGTGTTGCTATGAGTAGTACTCAACACAATGGCACCTAACAACAACAAAGGTAGAATGAACTGGTATGTTACTAAAGAATTACAAGAATAAATAGGTAGTTTGAGGAAATACGTGACTATGGGAAGAGGGGAGGGGACAGACAGCCATGAAAGAAGAGATGTTCCCCCTGCTGCCTGGGGACCACTGCCATGCGAGCACAACTGGATTCTGGTGGGTAAATGTGGCACCAGGGAACAACATAACAAGTTTTCACCTATTTGGACATTGTGTTTTTCAGGGTGCACCGTTTCTTTAGTGACAGTTTAGCCATTCACAACATCATTTCCAGGGAAAACTGACTGCCTCCCCCTCCATTGTCTGTGAAACACTGCTGCTGTACTAAGATGGAAAACCCCAAGATAGCCTATGAAAGACTCAAAAGGATTTTTCTCGATGCTCTACTAACGCACGTCTGTGGAACTGTGTGAAGGCAGCATGGAGCAGCAGGGAGAGGGGATGGGAAAGTTCCCTACTAAGCTGCCAGCTGTGGGGAAGCTGTCAGCCAGGGCAACATGGCAGTGGTCCTCCTTTCTTCAACTGGTCAGAGGGGCTCCAAATGCATTACAATTTCAAAAGCACCCATTCCAGAGCTTTGGACAGTTCTTTTAGGCCATGGGAAAACATTCTGTACTTTGATTCCTTTTCCTAATGCCTTTTTCAGTTAGTTTTGGCTTATGAATCAAAAGCACCTAGTTCAAGACTACATTTGTGTGAAGCATCTTTGATAACTTTTATTGCTGCCTTTGTAAAACTTAGACACAGAACCAATATTGTTGCATTCGACCACATTTCTACCACAAGTGTTAAAAAATGCTTAAGTCTAATTTATTCTACTCTGAATCAAGTCATCCGTACATAAACACATGCAGGCACGCACGCGCACACACACAGAATTGGGATCACTTAAATAAGTTGTAACATTCCATGTTTTAATATTAATAACAAAGACATAAGTTAACCGTTTCCTGAGTAAACAGTGCAATGTAAAATTCATCTGTATTGCTAATTTGACATTTTATAGCATAGAAATATGATCAAAATGATCATTTATTTTGTCATGTCATAAACCACAAGTATCTGTTTTTAAATAGTGACAAAGACAGTTTAAATAGTAAAGAAATTTGTGGTTCATAACAAAGAATGCTATCTGTATTTGTTGCCATGATTGCCTTTCCAGGTCAAATATCAGCAGTAGTAGTAAAATAAGTTATGATACAAAATAAAGCACAAGTTATCTATCCTGAAGAAACATTTGATTTAAGAAACAGAAACCTGGACTCTAGTTAGATTTTTATCTATAAAAAAATGTTCTCCTAAAAGACCCTCAGCGATCACAGATTTTGATCAATCAGTTGACTGAAGGGCAATGACAGTTCTTCCTTATGCTGTAAAACTATGAATCTCAGCTTTGGAAAAGTTAAGATCATGTAGCAACCTGAAAAACAAAACATACATGTTTCTCAATGAAAATGTTAAAAAAGAAACAATATCAAAGTTTACTATACCCATAATACTTTTAATTTTCTCAACTTGGATGAAATTTTTTAAAAACAAAATGCAATGCAATTAACACTTCTAAAAATTAATAATACTTTCTTAATAGAATTTTCTAATGAATGTCATCCTTTTTCAGTGTTTGAAGCAATTAAATTAAGATGTCCTTATGACTGGAATGATCATTATAATTGGAAAAACTATATCAGTGAGAGGAAGATCCTCAATGATGTAGACTGACACAGTGCTGTGAGTCTGAACATGAAGGAGACTGTACAGATGTTGCAGAATAAGGAAAGGTTGCAATAGTTCATAGTTCATAGTTGACACAACAGCGCCTATTGTGTTAGATGCTGCTGAGTCGCTTGTGACTCATAGCAACCCTATGTACAACAGCCCTAAACCCTGCTCTATCCTGTGCCAATCTTGCTGTCTTTTACACACCTACACCCATTACCCCAGTCACCAAGTCAATCCATCTCACTGAGGGTCTTCTTCTCTTGCACTGTCCCTTTGCTCTGCCCTCCCAAGCACAATGTCCTTCTCCAAGGACTGGCCCTCCTTGCAACATGCCCAAAGTACGTCAGATTAAGCTTCAGAATCCTTGCCTCCAAGGAGCAACCTAGTTTCACCCTCTGTAGGATGAACCTGTTTGTTCTAGCAGTCCATGATATATCCAATACTCTTCTCCATCACCACAGCTCAAAGGAATCAATTCTCCTTCTATCATCCCTCGTTACTGTCCTGCTTTCTGATGCATAGCAAGTAATTAATTGCAAAGACTATGGCCTATATCAGGTTCTCCTTAGTCTCCAGACTGTGGAGAGGTCCCTGAAGGCAGACTTTCCCAATACAACTCCTGTTTTGTTTTTGTGGATGCTGGTACCAAGTGTTGATGGTGGAGCCAAGCAAATTGAAACTGTTAACAATCTCAGTCTCTTCACTGTCTGTCATGATGCTACCAATCTTCCCAGTGGTGAGAATCTTTGTTTTCTTGATATTGAGCTGCAGTCTTTGACCTTCTGCAGCAAGTGCTTCCAGTCCTCCTCAGTTTCAGCAAGCAGGGTTGTGTCATCCACATAAAGCAGAATGTTGATAAGTCTTCCTCCACTCCTGATGCCACATTCCTCCTCAAACAGCCCAGCCTCTCGGATGATTTGTTCTGCATATAGATTGAAAGGTATGGAGATAGGACACATCCCTGGCATACACCCTTTCGATTTTGAACCGTGGAGTATTTCCCTGTTCTGTTCCGATGGCTACCTCCTGGTCCAAGCATAGGTTTTGCATAAGCACAATCAAGTGTTCTGGCATTCCCATTCTTCTTAAGAGTCAGCCACAGTTTGTGGTGATCCACACAGTCCAATGCCTTTGCATAATCAATGAACACAGATAGACATTCCTCTGGTAATCTCTGCTTTCAGCCAAGATCCATCTAACAATAGCTATAATATCCCTAGTACCACGGCCTCTTCTAAATCTAGCCTGCACTTCTGACAGTTCTCTGTTGATGTGCTATTCCACTAGTTTTTGGATAATGAAGGTAAGATTTTTACGCTCCATTTCACATACTTTGGGTACATGGCCAGAAGGAAACAGTCTTTGCAGAAGGACATCATGCTTGAGAGGGTGGAAGGACAGTGCAGGAGGCAAAGACCAAGGATGAGATGGACTGACACAACAACTGAGATAATGATGGTAGGTGTGCCAGAGACAGTGAAAGTGGTTCAGGATGGAGCAGGGTTCTGAGCCATTGTGCTTAGGGTCGCTATGCGGTATAGTCGACCTGACTGCACATAACAACAATCTAGAGTTATACATAGTCCTGATCTCTAATGCTTTATCTGAATGAAGATAAAGATGTTGTTCCTTTCTTATAGTCTGTAATTTGGCTGTGCTTCTCCAGTGGCTGGAATCCATTAGCGACTCCTCAGCAGAGAGCAGGACCAGATTCTCTTGTGTGATTTCAACCCTGGAAACACACTGGAGGGTCAGCTATGAGTAAGCTGACTGAACAACAATTAGTTGAACAGAATATTAAAGTGTGGGTTCATATCAAAAGAACTTATTTTGTGGGATGATCTTCATTTCATGATTTGAGCATTGTGTTTTCTACCACACTGTTACTCACCTTATTCCTTGTTCTGTAAATGGTGTTGGTCCACAAAGGCATATGAGGAGTTTAGAGTTGTCTGAGCTTCTTATTAAAAATTCAGAAAGAAGTGCTGGTGCAATGTATCCCTTTTTGCCTTTCCATTCAGAAATAGGCTCCGAGAGAACAAATTCTACATCAAATCTAGAAGGAAACATTTTTAAAAGTCTATTATGCAAGCACATTCTCAAAAATGCCTCAAGTTGGCTAAAATATATTCTTATATGGACTTTTATATCCCTTTAGAAAAAAATCTGAGACAAAAAGATTTTCTAGAAGAGTGTTCGAATAAAATATCAATAATGTCTTAAAAAAAAAATCTCAAACTCATTGCCATCAAGGCAGTTCTGATCAAAACCACCTTCCATTTGGTTTCTAATTGCCCATTTTTCTTCCATGGAGCTGCTGATGGATTTGAACCCATAGAACCTATAGTCTCTTGGTTAGCTCTGTAATCAACTATGGACTACACCAAAAGAGCTCTACTGTGTATATGTGTTGTTGTTGTTAGTTGCCGTCAAGTTAAGTATGACTCACAGTGACCCTATGAACAACAGATAAAACTGTGTCCTATCCTGTAGCATCCTCATCAACTGATATACCTGAGCCCAGTGCCGAAGTCGTTATGTCAATAAAAATATGAATGCTTCATGAATTTCGAAATCATCCTTACGTAGGGGCCATGCTAATCTCTGTATTGTTTTTATACATGTGTCACAAGACCAAGCACCACGTGTGTGTGTAGTGTGATCGTAATTATGAGAAAAAAATATACATAAGTAAGTCTAGAAGGAAATTAAGACAATTTATATAGTTAGGCTAATCTATCCTATAGAAAATAGTCTCTCCTGTTGTTCTTCATGAACTTATTTTTCTTCCTTTTGGCACTTAAAATTAAGATAATTTATGTGTTCAAAGGTACTTACTGAGTTAATACAGGTATGTATTTACTTATAAAGAGGTCTCACAGGCTAAAAAGAAAAATTATACTTGAAAGGACAAAGTTTAGTTGTAGAATCTATGAAATTACGTATTAAAATGTATATGAATTCACGAGAACATTTTTCTGGGAAGGAGATCCTTAACTGTTATCAGATTAACTAAGGGGACTCCAAAAAGCCACTGTGGAAGCACTGTTTTAAGTTTCCAATTATACAAAACACCTGGATAAAAGATTACATCCCCTTGCTAACTTTAAAAGATAAAGAACAGACTTATTTGGTTTTATTGCCAAAAAGTCTATTGCTAGGATAAAACTGTTGAGTTACACAAATGCCGAAGTCCTTATAATCTGTAATAAATACCCATTCATATTTTTCCTTTATTGTAATGTTACAGAAAAGAGAAAGAAAAATGTCTTTATCAGTGGAACACTTTCAACAGTTATCTCCCAACTGGTGACAGGCTCCTGGATTCTTGCATAAATGGCTTACTCAACTGCCTCTGCATTGTATACACTCCCAAACAATGGTCCCTGGATTACAACTACTAAGTGGCCAATGGGAAGATGAAAAGGCAGTAGGTACACAAACTGGGACTATGCTGCCATCCTGTTAATTTACTTTTTCACAGGGTGAGAAAAGAGCTTAAACTGGAGCAGGAGCAATCCCAAGTTAAGATCAAAGGGCTTATTAACAAGCCTTTCTTATTCTACAGTCAAATAACAGATGGTCAACACGGAATCTTTTCTTCTAGTATTTCTGAATGAAGGTCACTTTACTGCTGAAAACATGTTGATTTGCTGGAAGTAAAGGAGTAAATAATTCATGTGCTTGACTGCTCAGTGAAAGGCTGAAGATTTAAATTCATCCAGAGACACCTCAAGAAAGTTAATCTACTTCCAAATAACCCGCTGTTTAGAACCCTATGGACTTCAGCTCTGTACTCACATACACAGTTTCCACAGAGTTGGAAAGGACTCAAAACCAGCTTGTTTGTTGTTGTTTAGTGCCATCATATGACTATATAAACGGACTGAAATCTTGCTCTATCCTGTGCCATCCTCACAACCTCAGCAGAACTCTCTCAAGTTCACTTTTACGAACAGCAGCAACATACCCTTTGTGTTATATTGGGCAAACCCCTCTTTAAAGTGCCAAAAAGTAAGGATTTTATTTTGAGAAATAAAATGCAGCTTACCCAAGCCACGATATTTTCAATTGTTTTGTATGCATATGAAAGTTAGACTTTGAATAAGGAAGATCAACAAAGAATTAATGTCTTTGAATCCATGTTGGCGAGAGTATTAAATATACCATCAACTAAGAAAGGACCAAATTTGTCTTGGAGGAAGAGCTACCTTAGAGGCAAGGATTTGCTGTTGTTGCCAAGTGCCACTGAGTATGACTCACAGTGACCCTATGAACATATGTATACCCTGTCCTATCTTATGCCATCCATATCATCTCATTGCTGCTGTTCCCATGTTAGTGTAGCTCATTGAGGGTCTCCCTCTCCATCGCTGGCCCTCCACCTTTCCTAACATAATGTTACTTTCCTAGGAACAGAATCTCCCACCAACATGCCCACAATATGGGAGCCAATTTAAAAATTCTTGCCTCTAAGAATCAACCCAGTTTCAGAACAGACCCTATTTGTTCTCTTAGCAGTCCATGGTATGTTCAATATTCTTCTCCAGCACCATAACTCAAAGGCACTGATTTTTCTTCTGTCATCTTTATTTAATGTCCAACTCTCAGAAGCAAAGTAAGCAGCTGAGAAGACCATTGCTTGGATCAGGTTCATTTTAGTCTCTAGACTAAGATCATTGTGCTTCAGCACTCTGGATAGGTACATAGGGTCAGGAGGCTGCTGTGCGAACACAGCAGAGGAGCCCTGCATGGTCTGGAACTGGGAAGGGAGTGCATAAGAGTTGCATTTTCTCTCCATACCTGTTCAATCTATATGCTGAGCAAATTATCTGAGAATCAGGACTCTATGAAGAGCAATGTAGCATCAGGATTGGAAGGAAACTCATCCATAACCTGTGTTATGCAGATGATACAACCTTGCTTTCTGAAAGTAAGGAGGATTTGAAGCACTTGTTGCAGAAGATCAAGGAATGCAGCCTTCAGTAAGGATTGCATCTCAATATCAAGAAAACAAAGATTCTTACCACTAGAACAACATGATGGATGGAGAGGAGATTGAAACTGTCAACAACTTCATCTTGTTTTGATGTACAATCAACACCCTTGGTATGAGCAGTCAGGAAATCATGAGACACATTGCACTGGAAAAATCTGCAGTTAAGGATTGTTCCAAATTATTGAGAAATAGTGATGTCAGTTTTAAGACTAAGGTGCATCTGATTCAGGATAGTCTTTCCACTTACTACCTATGCATCCGAGACCTGGACAATGAAAAAGGATGATAGGAAAACAGCTGACACCTTTGAACTGTGGTGTTGAAGAAGAGCACTAAACATCCCATGGACGGCCAAGAGAATGAACAGATATGTCTTGGAGAGGGTAGAGCTGGAGTGCTCTTTGGAGACAAGAAAGAGGAGATTTCTCCTCACATACTTTGGGCATATTGCTAGGGGGTGCTATTCTGTGGAGAGAGACATGATGTTGGGAAGACTGGAGGGTTGGTGAAGGAGAAGGAGACCCTCAACAAGGTTGACTGACCTGGTGACTGCTGCAATGGGCTCTTTTGTGTCAGGCAGTGTGAGGATGGCACAGGACAGGACTGGGTTCAGAATTTTTGTTCATAGGATCTCTATTAAGTCGTATTCGACTCCACAGTACCCTAACAACAATAATACTTGATTTCCTGACTATTGCTGCCAAGAGTATTGACTGTACTTCTGAGCAAGTGGAAATTGTTAACAATCTCAATCTCTTCTCCATCTATCATGTCACCAAATGGCCCAATGGTGAGAATCTTTGTATTATTGATGTTGAGATATGATAAATATTGAAGACTGCAGTCCTTGACCTTCTGCAGCAAACACTTCAAATCCTCCTCAGTTTTGGTGAGCAGGGTTGTGTCATATGCATATAACAGGTTGTTGATGAGTCTTCTTCCAATCCTGATGCCACATCCTTCCTCATAAATCCAGCCTCCAGAATGATCTGTACCACATGTAAACTGAAAAGGTAAGGAGAAAGGACACATCCCTGGTGCACTCCTTTTTTTTTTATTTTGAACCATGCAGTGTTTCATTGCTCTGTTCAGACAACAGTCTGTGGATCTAAGTATAGGTTTTGCATAAGCACAATCAAATGTTTGGAGATTTCCATTCTCAGTGTTAACCACAATTTGTTGTGATCATCATAGTAAAATGCCAATTGCAAAGTTAAAACACAAAGAGACATTCTTCTGGTATACTCTACCTTCAGCTAAGATCCATCTTATGTCAGCAATGGTATCTCTAGTGGTAATGGTATCTCTAAATGCAGCTTGTATTTTTGGCAGTTTTCTGTCAATGTACTGTTCTAGTTGTTTTTGGATAATTTTCAGCAAGATTTTGCTTGCATGTGACATTAGTGATATTGTTCGATAATTTTCACACTCTGTTGGGTTGCCTTCCTGGGGAATGGGAATAAATATGGATCTCTTCCTGTTAGTTGTCCAGGGAACTGTCTTCTAGATTTCTTGGCACATCCAGAGCTGAACTGTTTGTTGAAATATTTCAACTGGTATTCCATAAATTCCAGGAGTCCTGTTTTGTGCCAATTCCTTCAGAGCAGCCTGAACTTTTCCCTTTATTATCATTGCTTCTTAATTATTTGCTACTTCATGAAATTGTTCTGTGTTGGCTAATTCTTTTTGGTATACTATTCTGTGTATTCCCTCCATCTTCTTTTGATGATTCCCAAATCATTCAATATTCTACCCACAGCATTTTAAAGTATTGCAACTCAAGACCTGAATTTGTTCTTCAGCTTAAGAACAAGTTCCTGAACGAGTTCATCCCTTTTGATTTTCTGACTCCAGCTCTTTGCACATTTCATTATAATACTGTGCTTTGTTTTCTCAAGCTGTCCTTTGAAATCTTCTTTAACTCCCTGACTTCTTCCCTTTGTTTTGGTTTCTTGACACTCCAGTGCTATATTCAGAATCTTTTCTTCCTCCTCTGTCTTTGTATGACCATTTGCATTTTTCATGGATGATTATTATTACTGATCTCATTCCACAGC